GATCCAGTGGTGAGGTGTCAGTGTGTGCCTGCTCTGCTCCCTCTGCTTGGGGGAGCGGGGATGGGCTGGTTCAGAGCTCAGAAAAACAAATTTCTTAAGCTGAGGGCAGGTAAATGAAATCTGTGGTGTCAGTTCTGCTCCTGCTTTGGGAGAAGGTCAGGTGTACATCACTCAACCATCACTGGATCACAAGGTTGACAAAGCTCTGATTTTTGCAACAATTATTCCTTTTCCTTGACTGAGGGAGATGCATCCAAAGAGATTTCCTGGCTCTGCCTTGGAAGGAGGATTGTTAAAATTTCCAAGGTGTTTGGGTGTGTCTGTGTTTGGGAATGATTTGTAAATGATTCACATCCCAAAATACAGCAGCTCCAGTAAGAGGAAAGGTGGAAGAATTTCGGAGGTGATCTCAGGGGGGAAATGAAATGCATGCGACCATTCCAGAGGACAGAATGGATGGATGTAAAGGTCACAGCAGGAAGTAAAGGCAGTCATTGTATCCTATTCCCAAACTGCTCTTACAGTGTCCCACAACCTGGAATCACTCAGAATATGACACAGTTTGTGATTCCATCCCAGCTGGAATTTGCTGTTTTCTTTCTGCTTCTCATGTATTTATTTGTAGTGCAGCTGTTTGCTGCTGTTATGCTTATCTAATGCTTCCCTCCATTCCCAGGTTTTCTCTTAGAAACGATCCTGGTAAACCAGGGCTGTAACTGAAAAGAAGTGAAGCAAAACCAAAGAGGGAGGAAATCCCAAACCAAAACCAAAGAAGGGGGAAATCCTAAACCAGAACCAAAGAGGGGGGAAATCCCAAATCAAAACTAAAGAGGGAGGAAATCCCACACAAAACCAAAGGGAGGGGAAATCCTAAACCATCCCCTGTCCTATCACTTGTGGAGCTGGCACATCACTCCCAAGGGCTGTGCTTTCAAAGGCTCTGCTCTTGTAAACTCTTTTTAWGGTTCCTTTTCTCCAGGTGTGAATTAAGGAACTCTCAGGTTTGGAAGGATGTGGATGGATTGGGTTTGACAGCAAAGGTTGTTCCTGCCTTTATTTGCTCAGTCTCCTTGGTCTGCTCTGAATATCTGGGCTGGCTCCTGGAAGGGAGCAGAGCAAACAATCTGGKCAATAATTGCTTTGGCTCCCTGACTTTGGTTTGCCATCGCTGCCGAGGAGGGAGGATCAGTTTGGGTGACCTTGAGCAGAGTGCTGGCAGTGCTGCTCAGSGTGAGGATGCTCCCTGCTCTCCTCTCCCCTTGGGTGCAAAGCTTCATCCCCAAATATGGGCTTATTTTCTGCTCAGAAATGGGAGTAAGAGGCACAGAAATCCCTTAGTCACTGAAAAACCTGAAATGACATTTAAATTCCATCCATGACGACGTGTTCTGTTCTCTCTGAGCCTCTCCGAAGGAGTTTGTTGAGATCTCTTTAAATTCCTGAACCACTGCTGACTAATAGATGAATAGAAATTAGCTCTGAAACAGGTTCATTTAACTCTTGTCTGATGTGGAGCATTTGGCCTGGCAGAGTCCAAATGCTKTGACTTGTTTTTGTGTGGCAAATTGAGCGCTTTGTTTATTAAAATCGCTGATTTGTTGTATAATGAGGAGGGCCCAGATTACTGCTCCTTTCCACGGGAAGGATTTAAAGGGCAGGTCACTGCTGTTCTCCAGCAGCRAAGTATCTTTGATTACATGCTCATCTCTGTTATGTATTTCACAGATCTTCGTTAGGCAGGTTTTAGAATGATTAACTTGCGTCGTGCTTGCAGTCCTGTCAGCCTTAGTGATGCTCCACACATTTGGCTCCTTAAATTCTCTATCTGGGCACCGACAAATACATCTATAAAGTGAGATTGCTGATAATTTATCAGAATAAAACTGGAGCATAAAACTGGGTTTGTGTTGTAAACCCTGCATCATGTAATATTCAACGTTTTTTTTAACTCTGAGCTGGGACTCTTAATTGAAGCTGCAGCTCTGCTCTTCCTTCATGCATGACTTAAGGCATCCAGCAATGTTTTCTGGGATGTAATTTGTTTTTTTTTTTTGTAGAAGCTTCCACACAGAGAGGTAGAACAGCCATTTTGGCAAACATTTAGTAAATAATGATGCACATAACACAGAATTTTAATAATCCTTTGAAATTGGGAGGGGGATCACGGGCTGGCCGTGTTTCCCCTCCTGCTCCAGTGGCTTTCCCCTTCCCTTCCAGCAGAGTTGAGTGCTGGCTGTTGTTGCTAATTGCAGATGATGGAGCACTGACATTTTCAAAAGCACACATGGATGATAGTCACCCAAAGGATGAGCCTGCCGCCTTCAGAGATGCTGCTACAATTCTGCTGGCATCGACTCATTTAGTGATGAATTGCAGTAATAGCAGTTCAGGACCTACAGCATATTAGTGAAAATGAATCCACTGAGCACCAGTCCCATGGCACTGCAACAGCACTTAAAGAACACTGATTTCCTTAAAGGCAGAAAAATCTGATTAAGAAATTTAGCTGGGGCTTTGTTTTTTTGCTTTTGGTGGTTTTTTAGTTCACATTATTATTTTTTTTTAACCAGCAGCATGTTATTTGTATTTCTTTCTTGTGGCATGTAAGGAATTTATTATACATAACAAAACCAGGAGAGTTCCATAAATTCAGGACATCTCATCCTGTTCTAGCAGATGGAAGATGCTACAATAAACCGAGATGGAGCAGTAGAATTACTTTAATTTCTTGATTTAAACTGACCTAAAACCTGGTTGTAACAGGAAAAAAGCTCAACRTGCTGCCACTGGGGAGATCTGTAACAGCTTACAAAGTGTCTGTGGCAAAGATGTTGTAGGATGAACGCAGCAATTGGCAAGAATTATTCTAATAAAAGGATGGGGCAGCCTATTATTGCAGGAGTTGTGTAATTTGAGGGAGCTGGGGATAAAGACAGGCGTCGTGGTAATGATGTGTTTGCAGGAGAACAGAGTGTTCTTACAGCTCTGGAGAGGGATCACTGGGGAAGGTCCCGAGCACAAAGCTGTGCTGTCTCCTTCCAAATCAGCCAGCAGCTACAAAATCAGAGGGAYTGGGAATGCAGGGGTACCTAAAACAGGGGGAAATATGTAAATGTTCATCTCTCTTCTCCCCTCCCCTTCTCGACACCTTCCTGCCCAGCRGGGAGGGAGCAGGTCTGGGACGTGTCTGGAGCATGCAGAGGCAGCTGCCAGTGGCTCCAAGCAGCAAAAAGTGCTAATAAGTGGCTCTTTTTGGTCAAATGGAKTCTTGTAAACTCCAGTGCACGAGTCTGAGTGTTTGAGAGGCTGAAGAGATGTTCTAAACTGGGATTTGTGGATAATTTCATTATTTTMGGGCTAACACAGGCTGCAGCTTTGTCAACTGCAGAGGAATTTTTTTGAAGACAATCCTGGATATTTCGGCCAAGATCTGTTTTGGGGCAGGGGCACACCCCTAACACTGCTCTGCTTCTGTCAGGACRGTGAAAAATCTGTATCTGCTGCACCCGTGGCTGTGCTATCTTTGGGAAGGGATCAAATTTGGATGTCTAATTGTGTGGAGGAAGCTGATGTATTTATAGCAGGTGACTCTGGGGGCTGAGGTGGGTGTTTGTGCACTCAGGGCTCTCGATGAGTGGCTGATGAGTTATGGTGATGATGGAAGAGTTTTCTATATTTTGTGATTTGAAAAGCAGCTTGGCACTTCCTTCCAAAGCTCCTGCAGTTTCTGTAAGTTAAGAAAGTCAGGGGAGTTCTTTTTCCTGAATAATAACAATTAAAAAAAAAAAATGAATTATAGAATTGTTTAGGTTGGGAAAGGTCTTTAAAATCATTGAAATCTAAGGTCAGGAAATCTCCCAGTCTGACAATCCAGGACTTGATAAGGTTCTTGATATAGATAATTGATAACTGATRTGGATATAAGTAATAATATAATTGGATGTAAAATAAACTAAAAACACAAAGGCTGTGTTGACAGCAGGATCCAACTAAGATGACTTTTTAGTGCCAAACATTTGGAGTTTTAAGGATTCACATGATTCCTACATTCCTAAAGAAAGTTAAATTAAAGATGCACCTTTCTGACTCAAATGGAAGCAGGTGCTGCTTCAAGTAGCACGAGCTGCTGGTTTCTTAATTTTAAAATCCTGATTTCTTGTGGCAAATTGTGATTTAATTACAGAAGCATTTAAAACACACACAAACAGCACACATACATTTTGAAGTGTGTTCACTGAATAAAGATGAGGGAACTAAGGCGAGACAGTCTGCAAAATGTTCGTTACAGTGATGTGAGGGATGGGTTGAACTGTTCAGGTAAAGGCTAAAGGTTGGATTGAGTTACAGTTTCTAATGTTTTTAATATTTTAATACTTTAATATTTTAATTATGGGTTGATTTAAATAATGACAGTGAGGGAGAAATGCAATTTTCTTTCTCTCTGCTTGGGTTTGTTGTGTTTAGAGCTATGTGAAAGCTCTAAAGAAGACTTTGATATTCAAAGTTTTCATTTCACTTCCTTCTGAAAGAGAAGTACCACAAAAAAATGCGGGTGAAAGGAAACCAGACGAGATTCGTATGCCATTAATGGAATTATATTAGGAGTTGKAATAATATCCCTTAATCTTAAAAAGGTAAGGCTCTTACAGAACGAAGGTTTTGCTGCTGCTTTTCATGCCATGTGAGGAATTAYGGCTAATGCAAGTTGCTGATGTGAAAACATCCTCGCTAATCCTGTTYGGAGAGCGGCTCGTTCTGCACTCCTTAGAAAAGGCACGAGAAGACGTATTATGGGCCCTTCGTTAAATAATTACTWAATTACACCCTGGGACTAGCAGATAGGAATCTGAACAGTGCTGGCAGGTTTCCCCTAAAGCAGCAAAGCTCTGTGCGAGGAACGCCACGTGCGCAGCAACGGCGGGGTCACGGCGGCATCTGCAAACTCAAGGTGGAAAAGACATTTCAATATGCTCATACTCGTTAAAAAAGCTCCTACTCACCCTTCCCGGTGAGCTTCTCCCTTCTCTAGCTCCTGTATAACACCCAACAACACTTTGATGGTCTCCTGACTCGAGCTGATCAGGTTCTCCATCATCTGAAGCTGCGCTTTCAAGTCCACAACTTCGGTGTGAGGCACGATTTGTTGGCATTCCTGGCTCACGGCGACGGCCGTCCGGCAGGGCTGGCTCTCCTCCACGGGCGCCACGTTGACCTGCAGGCTCCGGTCACTACATTCGGGGGCCGGGCACTGCGCCCGCGCCGCGCACGCTCGGGCATCTCCGGCCGGGGGCTGCACCCCGTTGAGCTGCACCGTCCTCTTGTCGTCCTCGTCGGGGCACGGCCCCCAGTCGGCCAGGTCGGCCTGCGAGGCGGGCAGATAAACCGCGGCCACTTCGGTTTTGAACACCCTCCCGTGGAGAGGCTGAGCGGCCTCCTCGCTGCCCAACCGTGCCACCGCCGCTCGGGCCCGGCTTGGCCGCGCCGCCTCCTCCTCACCGGGTTCAGCCAAGCTGGGCAGAGGAGGAGGAGGCGGCTCTTTGGGAGAACTGTGCAAATCGCTGCTTTTCCAGGCCTCGGCGCCGTCGTCGTGCGCGGCRCGCTCGGAGATGTGGGAGATGAACTCGGCCGTCTGCAGGCTGCCCGCCTTCCTGCCCCACGCCGCCGCCTCTGCCGAGCCCCGGCTCTCCCTGTCCTTCACCTCGATCAGGAACCCGTTGTTCTCACTCGGCAGTGCCTCCACCGTGGCGGCGCTTTTCAGGACGTTGCCCTTTTTCCGATCCAGGGGGAAGGTCTGGTAGCACTTTTTAAGATCAGGGGAYGTCTGGACTCCGGTGCTCTTGGTGACGTTGGGGATGGACCTGCGGGCGGGCACCGTCATGTACTTGCGGTAGGCTGTCTTGTAGGCGATGGCCTTGGCCTCCCTCTTGTCGGGGTCCTGCGTGGAGGAGCTGGAGAGCTGCTTGTCCCTCTGCTCGTTCTGGGCCTCGCAGATGTCCTTGAACCTCACCTGCAGGGCTTTGTTCCGTTTCTTGATCTGCCGGTTGGGGTCCAGCGCGTATTTCATCTCCAGCGCCAGCGAAGCCGCGGGCTCGACGTCGCTGTCCGAGGCGGTGAGTAAGCATTTGCTGGGCTCCTTACTCACCATGATGCCTGCAGCCAAAAACAGGGTGAAAAGCTTAGAATTACAACAGAAATGTTACTTTTTCCCCCTCATGTTTTTGCGATATTTGGGCCACGTCACTCTGATCCCACCAAAATGGCTGCAACTCATGAGCTATGTGCTCAATTCTCTTGAGTTGTGGCCCTCAGTGATTTCCTAGAAATTTGTACCTTAATTTTGCTTTTTTCTTGATTTCTTGTGATCACCTGCTCCTCAAAAAGGAAGTTTCTTGGTGCCAAAAGATTTTTCAGATCTATTTTCCCAGGACAGCAGCATGGCTGTCATGCCAGGGCTTCCCAGGAAGCAATTTCCCTCAGGAATACGTGCCCCCAAGAAGCTCCTCTGAATTTACCTGATAATTAGTAAAAACTGCAGGAAAATTGAAAACCAAGTGTCTTTGTCCTAGTAAAGAAAAGTTTGGAGCTCTACCCACTCTTCATTCTCCTTTAATGCAAATGTTTAGTTGCAAGAAGTGTCAAATTGGCATTATTTTTAGCGTGTGCTTGCTTACCAAACACATTTCTGCTGTGTAATGTATTCAGTGTTCTTTGCAAAAAATTAATGGGTCGTTAGAGGTGTCATTATTTGGATTTTTATAAAAAAATCACCTCGTGGCTAAAACTAAATGCAGATTAATTATTATTAGCAACTGGTTGGTGCTGCTGGATGCGTAGAATTTATGAACTCGGGAAGTTTTGGAGGAAGTCAGCAGTGCATCAATTAAGGTTTTGCTTCAAATGCAAAACAACTCATCCTTTCCTAGAAGCAGTAATGTGCCTTTATGATACAGCTGCTTATCCCAAATGATCCTAAAGCACTAAAAAACCCTCCAAACCTCCCAGAAATTACTTAATCTGCCACTGAAATGTAAGCTCCTCCTCAAGGAGAAGATGCCAACTGCTTAACACAGCACATACCCAAAAAAAAAAACCCCAAAACCCCAGTAGTTGTGCAGATCATAGGGGATCTGCAGGAGCTGCATAATTAAGATTTCATTTTTACACCTCATTTGAAGTTGTAATTTTACTTTCCCGTTGCACAAATTTCTCCCTGAGACGTGCTGAAATTACCGAATTCCCACTTAATCCAAATATTCTCCATATATCTCCTATTTAAATCCTCGGAGAGACTSAGGAGTACAATGTAAAACAAGTAAAGGGACTTTCAGGTGTGTCTAAAGAATGTTTTTAATTAAAATTCCTTTGTCTATTTAATAAAATATGTGAAACTCTTGAAGAGTTAAGTGCCGTAATAGCGCATGTTTTAGAAAGCCAACTCGGGGGCGCAAGGGAGYGAATCTTTGACTAGTCTGTATTTAGTTTTAAAGTAAGAAAGCTTAATGAGAAAATAATTTTCAGTGGAAAATGGGATGTTTATGGGATTTAAAAGTAACGGTAATGCTTCCCTAAAGATACCCACAGATGTGCATAGGATGTCTCCCAGGTTCTAGTCCAAGGTTGRACTTCTGGGTCAAAAATCTCATGGAAAAGTGTCATTAGTTAATGTTTTTTTTCTTGTTTTAATTCCCTGGGYCYGGTAATTTGTGAGCAAGGAACYGAAATRTTCCAYAGCCCCCCYGATTTGCCTTTTTCTGTCTGACTTYGATGYTRCAGTSGTTGGAGAAGGGGAAGWKATTTTTCTGTGACTGATGTAGTACAAAGTCTGTCAAAGAAACAAAAAGAGGGGAAATGTCAGGACAAAAACATTCAAATATTGGAATCTGAGATGGTCAGATGCTGCTTTTCGCGTTGATATTTTATATCTACAGGCCTAGGATCTGATACCAAGGTGACCAAGTCCCTGTTTTGGGGCAAAAGAGAGAATAAAATGGAAATTCTAAGGGGAAATTGGAAGATAAAATTGGAGTAGGATGGTGGAGTGACCTTTTGTGCTGGGTTGAGGGTAAGATTGGTCATCTCTGTGCYTTTAACATGTCTGGTACAAATAGGGACAGATTTTGAGGGGAATAAAACAACCACATAGGAGTGTCAGGAATTTGTGTTCCAGTTGAAACCCTAAATAAGGAGTTGGTGGGGAACATCAGTGTCCTGTCCTGGCTGGTTTGGGCTGTATTTGAGTTTTAATTGTGTTTGTGAGTGAAGCCACACCTTTATTTGAGGGACATTCTGCAAACAGAGCAGGTAGGGAGCACAGACATCCATCCTTTTGTCTACCTAGGGCTGGAATTTGGGAATGTTTCAGTGAAAAAAGTGCTGGGTAAGATACAAACCCCGTCCTTTAGCTTGCAACTAGACCATGTTAAAAAACTGCTGTGAAAAAACTGTAAAAACTGCTGTGAAACCCCAAAACTCTGCACTTTAGAACTACTGGAAGCAAATATTCCACAGCAGTCTGGTACATGAACGAGTTGACCAAAAAACCCTAAATACAAAAGCACAACAGTCATTACAGCCATTAGTTTGAAATCTGCCAGTGGGAGTTCCCGTGCTACCAAAAAGTCGTAGCAAAAATGAAACGTTGCATTCACAAAGATGTGAAATACTCAGCAACTGTGTCTGAAAAAGGCATGTTTTTACCCAAAAAGGCTACAAAAATTGGCTGTTAGCTCTGAAAGTCACTCTTTAGAACCATCTCTTAGGATACCTCGGAGCTGTCAAAGTGAGTTTTTGGGCACTGGGTTATTTGACAGCAGGATCCATTAACATGCAATTTATTTTCAAGTATTGGCTTGATATTTCATTAGTGTCTCTGACCCGTCTCAATTTTYAGATGATTTCACCTCCCACTTGAATCCCATCATTTTTGGGGGCTGCAGKCCGGCTGGGTTTGTTTGGGATGACTTCACATAGAATTAATGGGGTCCATAACCCAGCAGAAACCAGGAGCCTGCAGATATCCTACAGAGTGGATAAACGGGGAACTTTATTCTGCAGTTAATTTTAAGYATGTCTTTAATAGCCAATAAATTGATTCTTCACCAAATTGCTGGTCTCCCTTTCCCAACTGCACAGGCCTGATTGATTTAGCTGATCCRGAGTTTTCTATTCCCACCAGTAGCTGGGAGTAATAATTTCAGAGATATCTGTGATTAAGAATGACAGCAACCAAAAGAACTCRATTTTTTTTTTTTTAAGCCTTGCTCGGATCCCGGTGTCTCTGAAGGGAACTCTCTRCGCTCAGCTGATAAAAGAACAGTTGAGCGAAGAGTCAATTGTGAGTTTAACACTTCACAGGGAAGATTTTACAGAATATTTCTTGTTTTGTTTCATTTTTGGTTCGGACAAGGTGTTGCCTCCAATTTTGGGTTATTTAGGCAGTGCCACAGTGTCGTCTCTGCAGGATTTTTGGATCYTTTAGGAAACTACTGAGCTGGAGTTTCTCAGTTTATGGCTCCTGCTGTCAGGGTGGTAATAAAGCCTTTAAATTTGAATTTTAGTTGCAGATGCCAATTACATGCAGATAATGGTGTTCAACCTTTTATTTGTACTTACTCTAAACACAGAGATGATTTGCTAAACTACATATTTGAGCTATTACAGACTTTGCTTTTCAGTTTTTAGCCTTGATTTGTTTATAAACTTGTGACTGATCACCTTTAAGCAGTATCCCTCTGTATTTGGATATGGAAATAATCTATTAAATAATAATAATAATAATTAAAAAATGATTCACAGAGAAGCTTTAAGTTGGTGTAAAATCTTCGGGGTAATTATGGAAGGCACCAGTTAGGTGGCACAAGTCTTTGCAGTATCCCAAACTCTGCAGAGTCACTGCTCTGTGAGGAGAATTACAGTGTGGAGTTTCCAGCCTGATTGGTTAATGAGGGGACAGGAGATTTGGARCTCACCTTGTAATTTCCATTTTATTTCTGTCACTTTTATGACACAGAAGCAGAATTGGGAATGTGTTAATACGTGGAGTGGGCTTAAACTTCCCAGGCTCCAAATGCAGATGARAGGCACGGATTTGAGTCCTTGGCTTTCCAGAGCAAATGAAGGCTTTGGAAATGCAGCTGGAAACATCTGTGCAYGTATTAAGAGTGCACAGGATGGATGTATTGGCTTAAAATAATGCAGGGAATTGCAAATAATTGGCCTTTTCTGTGTAAAGGGGGAAGTGATCTGCAGCATCTTTAGCTCCTGAATATTTCCAGGCTGGACGTTCTCCTGAGAAATCCCCACTGTCTCAGAAGTAATTTTTATACACCTAAATACCACTCTAAACCACTCATTTTTCAAAAACAGTTTGATGTCTGTAAGTCATAAATGTACACATGGAATATTCATCCAATTGTACTGTTAAAATAATGAGGAGAAAGAAACTCAGATTTACTTCATCTAAACAAATCCAGCAGAGAAAMCTAATGTTAATTGTTAATATCCCACACATTTTGACTCCATTAAATGAGTATTTTTGTTCTTTTCAAAGGCATCTAATTGCTAATTAACTGACAGTGTTGTTATGTTAGAAATTAAAAAATTATATATTATCACCCTAAGTAGTAGCAATGTCCAGTAAACAACATTGTCATGATCAAATTATCTTAGGCAGTTATTAATTAGGAATTGTTTGCAGAAACTTTTTCTGTGTTAGGAATTTTTGAAGAGTTTTAATACAAAAGAACTGAGGGTAAATTCTGACTCCCAGATAAATCTGAGGATGCTGGTATTCCCAGTTTTTAGGGGAGAAAAAGAACTGATGGCAGTTATTAGGAAAACTGATGGGGTAGCCCTGCCTGTCTTCATTTTATCACAGAACTGTTCATGTAGAATAACAGAGTTAGCAGTGCTGCTAAATGTCAAACCAGTATTTTTTTTTTAACTCTGTTTTGAAACCCTGAGGCACTGAACTTGCATTTTCTCTCTCTTGAACTTCCTTATTTATTGCTCAATACCGAAGTCRTTCTTAACTGCTGCATTTCGAAGTGCCTTGGAAGTCTTCCTTTGGAATAAACAGAAATCTGTGGCATTGGATTTGTCTTTTTCCCCCTCCCATCCACTGGCAGGCTCCGTAAGAATGATGTATAAAA